TGATGCATCAGTTCAAAAGATCCAATTCCAGAGTAATAAGTACTGTAGGAGAAATAACTGAGAAAATAGAAGGGAAAAATCTTTCAAAGAAGTAGAGTAGTCCCCTTTTGTCTGTGGGAGATATGTTCCAGGACCCTCAGTGGATGTTTGAAACTGGATAGTACCAAACCCTGCATATGTTATGTTTTTTCCTATACATGCATACCTGTGATGAAGTTTAATTTATAAACTTTATAAATAGGCACAGTACTCTTATAATAGGCCCAGTGCTCAGTAAGAGTAATCTATACACAGTAAGAGATTAAAAACAATAAATAATAATAGAACAATTACAACAATGTACTATAATAGAAGTTATGTGAATATGGTCTCTCTCTCAAAATAACAATATTTTTGAACCATCGTCAACCATGAGTAACTGAAGCCATGGATAAGGGAAGACTACTGTAAACTCTCCAGACCTGAGTAAATACTGAAGCAAACTCTTAGATATAAAGAATCAACTGAGTTTCAAGCAGATTGAGTAAACTAAAACTCCCCATGCAAACACAATTTTATGAAATGTCAGAATGACTAAGGTAAGATTTCAAAAGTTTCAGAAAAGAGAAACAGCCTACCTGTCAGGGGCTTGGGAAAATTAAATGATTGATTTGTTTTGGTTTGTTTATCATCAATAAAACTGGATGGGATGAGATGGTTGGATGATAAAAGATAATGGAGGAGTATATTAAAAATTCTAATGAAAGTGATTTTGAGGCTAGGATTCTGTACACAGCCAAACCAACACCCAAAATGTGAAAACAAAATAATCCACAGATTTTCTGTGATTCAACATTTACTCAAATGTCTTCATACCCATTTCTAAAGAAATTAGTTCAGAAATATATTCCAGCAAGACAAACAAGGAATATAGGAAAGAGGAAAGTATGGGAAGAAAAAACAGTAAGCCTACTCAGGGGTGCATTGAAAAAAGGGGTCCCCACATTATCTATGTGATTAAGCTGGAAGATAATTGGTTTTCATTAAAAAGGAATTCAGAATGCTTTAAAGAAAAAAAAGGTGCATGGAAGAGTGTTGCAAAAAAGAAAAGTAGCATAAATTCCACATAGTAGGATGAGGAGTTAACTACATTAAATAACTGATATAGAACAGGAGACGTTTTCTGTTCTTAACAAGAAAAATTGCTACTGTATATTCTGCTGTGGTACAGAAGTGAAGCGGACTAAATTTTGCATGATTTTGAGTCATTATTGGAATGTGAGAAGAGAAAATCTCTTCATTTTTGAGATACACATTCGTTGTGACAGTATCAGCAGAGGTAGTATTACAATAAACTGTAAGTCTCTTCATTGAAAAATATTACATAGTCATATAACACATGGAAGACTTGCTGTATCAATAAGAAAGTAAATGTTATTAACCATGATAACATAGAAGTAAAAACATAACTGACCAAAGCTGGAAGGAGGAAAATGGGACAGATGAAGGAAAGCGCTTAAATAGCAGGAAGTATAATGTCTAAAATGGATGGAACAAGAAATAAAGATTTGAAGGTATTATTATTTTACCCACTTTCCTCTGGAAATCTTTACACATATACCAAAGTAGAGGGAATAAGGTAATGAACCCACATGTACTCATCACCCAGTTTTAACAATTATAGCATGTGGCTGCTTTTATTACTGCCCTAACTCTGCTCTTCTTCCCTCTTCCTCCAACTCTAGTTTATTTTAAAGTAAATCTCAATGTTATAATATTAACTGCTACTTATCTATAATCAATAAGGACTTTACTTTTTAAATGTAGTCATAGTAACATAATCACCACTAAAAATTAGCAATGCTTCCTTAAAACTATGAAAATATCCGATTAGGGTTCATATTTCTCCAGAATGTCTCATAACTATCTTGTTACAAGTTTTTTTAACAATAATGATAAAAGGGTCCATTCACAAAATGTATTCAGAAAAATTGACACAACTAAAAAAGAAAATACTCATATATAGAATCATAGCTGGGGATTTGAACACATCACTCTTAGTAATTCATAGGATATAAACCAAAAAAATCAGAAGAATATAGAAGACTTGAACACTGGCAACAAACTTGACCTAGTTGATATTGATATAATATTGCACTCAACAATTACAGAATATACTTTTTTAAAAAAAGATTTCTGAAATGTTCACAAAGAGATACCATTTGGAGGGCTGTAAAGTTTTCTGACCACATGGGATTAAATTAGAAGTCAATAACAATAGGCTATGAAAAAAGCTTGAACTATTTGGATAATACATAATTTCTAAATAATCCATGGGTCAAAAAGAAAGGGGAAGGAGAATTAGGAAATCATTTGTACTGAAGGATAATGAACATAATCTATCAAAATTTGTGGGATGCAACTAAAGCAGTGCTGAAAGAAATTTTTATCTATGAAAGATATTAGAAATGAGCAAGAGTTTTAAAATCAAAGATCAAATCTTCTACATCAAAAAACTAGAAAGAGAAGATCAAGTGAAGCCCAAAGTAAATAAAATGAAGACAGCAATAAAAATAAGAATAAAAACCAACAAAAGAGAAACAGATGAACAACAGAGAAAATTAACAAAGAAAATTGTTTTTATTGGAATGACTAATAAAATTGATAACCCCAGCAAGGCTCATGATAGAGAAAGAGAGATCACAAATTTCCAGTATTCAGAAATAGATTACTACAGGTCGCTACCAGGATAATATGTGAATATTATGAATAATTTTGTGACAACGAATACTAAAACATGGATGAAATGTACAAATTTCTTAGAAGGCTCATTTGCCAAAGCTGTCAGAAGAAGAAACAGAACATCTGACTAGCCCTGTATCTATGAAAAGAATTAAATTTTACTGTTGAATTCTATTAAATAAGTAAGAAATAATACTAGTGTTATACAAAGACTTTTGGAAAATAGAGGAGGAGGGAACACTTCCCTAATTATTATATAAAGCAAGTATTACCCTCATTAAAAACAGAAAAATCCACTTCAAGGAAAGAACATCACACACCAATATTCCTCATGAACACAGAAAAAAATCCTCACATATTAGCATATTGAATTTATCAATAAGGATATAAGAATAGTTCATCTTGAGTAAGAATTATCCTGAAATGCAAAATTGGTTTAACACTTAAAAAGTTAATATAACTCACCAAATTATAACAGAGTAAAGAGGAAAATTCATATGATCACCTCAATAGATGCAAAAAAAGTATTTGGCAAAATACAGTGCCTACTCATGATAAAACTAAAATTATCTAAAAGGTATACTTAATGGTAAAATGTTGGAAATTTTCTCTCTAAAATAGGAGTAAGGCAGGAATGTCCACAATCACCATTTCTGTCCAACGTTTCAGTAGCAGTCATTGACAGAGCAATAAGATCAAAAAAAGGATTAATAGGTCTAGGGAGCAGAAAGAAGTAAAAATGCCTTTTTTCTCAGACAGCGTGATCAATTACTTAGAAAATCCTAAGAAGTCTTCAAGAAATTTGTAGAATTAATGAATTGAGTATTTTTAACAATATATAAGGCTAATGTGTAAAAATGTTACATCAATAATTATTGGGAAATAAAATTTTAAAAATATTATTTGCAGTAGCATCAAAAAACATACTTAGGAAGAAATTTGTAGAATTAATGAATTGAGTATTTTTAACAATATATAAGGCTAATGTGTAAAAATGTTACATCAGTAATTATTGGGAAATAAAATTTTAAAAATATTATTTGCAGTAGCATCAAAAAACATACTTAGGAAGAAATTTAACAAAAAAACATCTAAGATCTTCCACTGAAAAATATTATACACTGATGAGAGAAACTAAATAATTTAAATATGTGGATAGGCATGTATAACCATGTATGTGGATTAAAAAATCTCAGTATTGTTAAGATATCAGTTTTTACCACATTGATCTATGGATTGAACATTTTCCAATCAGACTTTATTTTAGTAGAAAAGGAAAGATTGCTTTTAAAATTTATACAGAAATCTTAAGGACCAAAGCAATATTGTGAAAGAAGAATAAGGAACTATATGATCTAATTTTTAAAATTTCTATAAATTTATAATGAGTCATGGTATTGGCATAGCATAGACAAATGGGTTGGTGAAAGAGAATAGAGTCTATTAGATACACAAATATAGTCAATTCATTTTCAGCAAAGTTTATTCAATAGGGAAAGGTTAGGCTTTTTAACAAATGGTGTTGTCACAACTAGATAAATGTGGGAAAAATTGAACCTTGTCCCTTCACACTATACACAAGAATTAATTTTGAAATAGACGAAAGACGTAAATTTAAAAGCTACAACATTTAAACTTCTAGAAGAAAACATGGAAGAATATTTTTATTGACCATGAGATAGCCAAAGATTTTTTAGATAGATACCAAAGCACTAAACATAAAAGAAAAACTATATGAAGGAGACTTCATCAAAATTTTAAATTTCCGCTCATCAAAGATAGTAGCAAGATAGTAAAAAGTCAGGCCTCAGACTTGAGACATATTTGTGATATGTGCATCCGACAATGTTCTTATATCCATAATATATTAGAACCCTTATACGTCAAGTGTAACATTAAAAAAACAAAATAATGACCAAAAGATTTGGATATTTGAGGCCGGGTGCGGTGGCTCACACCTGTAATCCTGGCTCTTTGGGAGGCCAAGGCGGGCGGATTGTTTGAGCTCAGGAGTTCGAAACCAGCCTGAGTAAGAGTGAGACCCCGTCTCTGCCAAAAATAGAAAGAAATTAATTGGACAGCTAAAAATATATAGAAGAAAAATTAGCCGGGCATGGTGGCGCATGCCTGTAGTCCCAGCTACACGGGAGGCTGAGGCAGAAGGATTGCTTGAGCCCAGGAGTTTGAGGTTGCTGTGAGCTAGGATGACGCCACGGCACTCTAGCCGGGGCAACACAGTGAGACTCCATCTCAAAAAAAAAAAAAAAAGATTTGGATATTTGAGAGAGAATGCTATGTAAATGGGCAGTGAACACATTAAAAATTGTTAATGTGCTTCATAATTATGTATTATTATAAAATATTTATCAGGAAACATCACAATTTACCATGCTAGTTAAATTTTAGAAGACAGACAACACCAAAATTTGACAAGAATGTAGAACAGCTGAAACTCTCACATATTGCTGGTAGCAACAAGAAATAGTATTACCACTTTGGCAAAGAGTTTGGCAGGTAACATACCTACCTATAGCAGAGCAATTCCAGGCCTGGGTATTTACCCCCACCCTATCTCAAAATAAGTGCATATATACACTTAATTAATGACTTATTAAATGACTTGTACTTAAATAATGACTTACTTAAGTATATGTATTGTAGATTTATTCATAGTAGCCAAAATCTGGAAACAACCCAAATATTCATCCATAGGAGAGTGGTTAAACTGTTTATCATAGACTACATGACTTCTTAGCTGTAAGACAGAGTGAACTGGTACGTGAAATAACGTGGATGAATCTCAAAAACATTATGTTGACTGAAAGAAGACAAATATGAAATATTAATAGTATAATCTGTATTACTCCATTTATATGGAATTTAAGAACAGACAAAACTAATCTGTAGTGGTTGAAATTAGAATGGTAAGGAAGTTGAGATTGGCTGGAAAGGGGTAAGAGGGAACTTTCTGGAGGGAAGTAAGTGTTTGATATGTTAATTGGAGTGTTGGTTACATGGAAATATACATTTGCCAAATTTCATCAAATTGTTCAGATAAGATCTGTATATTTTACTGTATGTAAATTTTATCACACTTAAAAATAAGTTACCTGATGGGTTGGTACTTGTCTCTGTAGTGGGTAGAATAAGAATTAGAAATTGCAGTGTTTTCATTTTAAGTTCATTTAATATATACCATGTATATATAATACTTTGATTTAGATTTTAAATGTAGAAAACAAATTTTGGATCCTTCTGATTGGCAGAACAATTTTTAAAATGTCATCAATGTCTTGTTTGGTTTTAGTTTTATAAAGTAGACTTTGAATACTCAACTGTGTGGCAGATACTTTAGTATGCATTTTATATGTGCTGTTTTACTTAATCGCCATAACAAACCAAATGGTTAGTTCTATTTCCATTTTACAAAAGTGGAAACGGAAGCAGCAAGAGGAAAGAGATGCACCAAGTGTTCAATTAATATTCCCAGCTCGGCATGGTGGCTCACGCACTTTGGGAGGCTGAGGTGGGAGAATCACTTGAGCCCAGGAGTTTGAGACCAGCCTGAGCAAGAGTGAGACCCCGTCTCTACAAAAAATAGAAAAATTACCTGGTATGGTGGCAGATACCTGTAGTCTCAGCTGCTCGGGAGGCTAAGACAGTAGGCTTGCCTGAGCCCAGGAATTTGAGGTTGCTGTGAGCTATGATGACACCACTATAGTCTAGCTTGGGCAACAGACATCCTCTTAAAAAAAATTCCCAAATTGTTATGGAAAGAGCCCTAAACCAGGAGTAGTTACTGAGTTCCACATCTGAATTTTCTATTCTTTTTCATTTTCTTAGGTGTCATTTTACTATATTCATTTAGTTTATAATTCTGTTAAATCTATTTTAAGATTGTTTTAATGAGCTACTTTTCATGATTTTTTTTTTAATTCAATAACTTCAATTTTTCAAAGGGGCCACTGTGGTGACAGCTGCTGTGGTAGAAGTACATTCACGTGCCTCACAAGTTAAAACAACACTAAATATGAGTTTCAGAACTGAGTATCTCACCATGGTACTGTATAGTCCAGGTCCTGAACAGGTAAGTCAAGGAAGAAAAGAAAATGTACTCATTTGTGAAAAATTATATATAAGTGGATGTTTATTAAATAACATTTGTTAATATTTCGTGTGCATTTTGTACTGTTCCTCTGAGAAATATGATTGATCTTTTCACTTTAATAGTAATCTTAACCAATGTAAAAAATAACATTTAAAATTAAAGTTACTGTATAATATTAGGCCTTTTGATAGAGAGTCCTTTGGAGGTAGAGATATTTGATGTTTTGTATAAGCAGAGGCAATAATTTATAGTAGTACATATCACAAAATATGCTTTAGGCTTATGTTTTTGTATAATTTTTGTATTGATTTCTCCTTCCATAGGCTTCGTTTACAGATGTTCGTGATCCTTCTCTGAAACTTGCTGAATTTAAATTGGAAAATATTATAAGTACTGCAAAAATGTATACAGATGACTCAACATTTTCTTCCTTCTCATTAAAAAACTGTATTTTAGATGATAAAAGGCCTCATGTCAAGAAAGCAACTCCTAGGTGTGTATTGTAATTGTATTCTAAGGTTTTACTTGAGAAATGGTTGATATATTTTATAGAACTTATCCCCAAAGTTGCATGTTCATTTTGTGGGTGCAAACCTAAGATCTTCAAAGCTTCAGTTCAGTCACGTCATGGTACTCAGTTAACATTTAAAGTGTGCTGGTTCAGTTATGTGCTATTCTTAACTGGATAGTTGATAGATTGGTTGAATAAGTGGAACTAATTAGTGCAATTAAATTGGTTTTTACATTCTCTAATATAAACCTAGTATAAATTACTATTAACCCATGCTAATTGCAATGGGGATATGCATGAAAAATTGAAAATAAAAAATACAATGAGATTGAAACTCTGATAATTTGTTAAACATACACTTCCTAATTTATGATACAGTTCTGCTTCAGAAATTTGTAGATCCGTTGTTTGGAACACTTTCTGAATCTTCCCAAAGAGGCATGACTTCAGAATACTTGTTTGCTGCCAGTGAAAGTCTGAGTTTTATTGTATGTTTGGTTATTTGTAAGTTACTCAGACTACATAGAAATTGTTATTATTGTGTTTTTCAGAATGATAGGATTGACAGTTGGGTTTGATAAAAAAGACATGATGGATGTAAAGTACAGGAGAGTCAGAGATGGTTGTGTGACTGATGCAGTCTTTCAGGAAATGTATATTTGTGCAAGTGTGGAATTTCTGCTGACGGTTGCAAATGTCTTTTTGGAGGCCTACACGGCAGGCACTGCTGTAGAAACCAGTGTTCAAACATGGACCTCTAAGGAAGAAGGTTAGTTATTGGCTAAAATATTTAATATCTGTGTTATTAAAGTGCTGCAATAGCACTTACTTTGATTTGCCTTTTAAATAAACAGGGTAAATGCATTAATAAATTAAAATCTTTATTTTTCAGAGAAAAACCTTAACATATTTTCTGGGAAGATATGTAGTTTGCATTTTCTTTGAAAGTGTGAATGTATATTTTTCTGAAATATATATTTTGAAAGTGTTCAAAAATTATGAAAACTACATTAGAATAAGTAATTACACTTCTCTGTAGGTAGTAATTCGAATTTGTTGGTGAAAGAAAACAAGCAGGGGGAATAATTAGCTGGCCACTCCTTTTCACAATTAAAGATAGTATTTCTATTTAAAGCACTCTTATTTATTTATTTCAGACAGGGTCTTGCTTTGTTGCCCCAGGCTACAGCGTAATGGCGTCATTATAGCCCACTGCCCCCTGAAACTTCTGGGCTCACGTGATCTTTCTGCCCCAGCCTCCTGAGTAACTGGGACTACAGGCACGTGCCACCATGCCCAACTAATTTTGCTGTTTTTTAATAGAGAGAAGGTCTTGCCATGTTGCTCAGTCTGGTCTCAAACTTCTGGCCTCAAGCGATCCTCCCACTTTAGCCTCCCACATTGCTAAGATTACAGATGTGAGCCACCACACCTGGCCTATTTTTTTAATATTTATTTCTAGCTCTTAACATATATTAATAGCTTTTCTATTAGACTTGTACATATTTCATTCATGGCGGTATAGTAGAAAGTGTCAAAGTGAGAGTTGGAAACTGGTTAGTTTCTAGCTCTGCCATCAAATAGTAGAGTTTTTTCCCCATATTTTTTAATATTCTTATCTCTGTAGCTTCTTAAAATATTTACTAAGAGAGTTGTAGGAGATTTCTTTGGGATCTAAGATTATTTTATCTTTCATTTAAAATGAAAAAACAATTTCTCATAAATAATAAACTATTCATAAGCAGTATATATAACAAATATTCATAAATATTTTAAAGTATTAATTTATTTTTGTTTTAGTACCTATACAGGAATCAGATAAGTGGGAAATGAATATTATTATTAAAAATCCTGAAATTGTGTTTGTGGCTGACATGACAAGAAATGATACTCCTGCCTTAGTCATTACAACACAGTGTGAAATTTGCTATAAAGGTGACCTTGAAAACAGTACAATGACTGCTGCCATTAAAGATCTCCAAGTGAGAGCATGCCCATTTCTTCCAGTCAAGAGAAAAGGCAAAATCACTACTGTGAGTTAACTGTTTAATTATCTGCTTGATTGTAAACTATTTTGGATTTAGTGTATGCCACTTTAGGAAATAAAAATTACCCGATGCTTTCTAACCTTGCTTGGTAAAATATCTTTCTTTCTGTTTGGAGAGCCAAATTAAAAATATTACTTACCAGCTTGGAAACTCTTTTCATTCTTCCGGATGCTGCTCATTATTATTTATATTTGTGAGAATATTCTCACTAAAAAGTTGGTTTCTTCTTGACACTACAATTAAGATCTTGCTCTGACTTTCTAACCATGTCAATTCCAAAGTGCTCTTTGGCCTTTAAGACTTTCTACCAGTTGTCTGCTGTATTGTTTCAGTTTTATTATTTTAATTTTTTCCTCTTACTTGGATGTTTTTGCTTTTTTTTGGTCTCCGTGTAATCTATTTGAACCTTCAGAAATTTACTTTGACATACCTCACACTTGTATTTTACTCTCTAGTAACCTCTTGGTCTTCCTCCTCTTTATAACTCTAATTAAAATTCCATTTCTTCAAAGAAATCTTTTCAAGTTAACTGGCTGACTCCCAGATATCTTAAAAATATTCATAAAATGTTTAGGCTTCTAAAGAAGTAATAGAAGCATAAATATTCTAAATATTATCAACATAGAAATATAAGCTGCAATTTTGTTATAAATAAATACATACGTATTGGTTAGGATATGAGATAGACTGTTGCCTTAGTGACTCCCCACTAAGAAGAGAGAGGAAATAGAAAATGGAGGGCATACTAATTTTCTTTTAGATTATGACTTAGAAATTTTACATATATTTCTTGTTTTCACATACTTTTGGCTTGAACATAGCCGTATGGTAATGACACTTACCTGCAATAGAGGCTAGAGAATGTAGTCTTTTTTTCTTAGTTTACTTGTGCTCAAGTACAACTTTTATTACTTGTGGAAGAGTAGAATAGATACCAGATGACAACTAGAGGTTCTTCCCACAGTCCACTCAAAGATTTCTTCCTATATTCACACATAATCCATACTATCTTTCTTCTCACCCACAGAACATATTCACCTCCTTCTCAAGGGATATAATTTTAGCTCAAAGTCCAGGATCATTAATCATCTTCATTGGCTTTGTATGTGGCCTTTCTTGGTCTGGCAATCTATTAATTAATAGACAGTAAGCTACTCTTCAACATAGAAACACAGGCATGCACCATACCACCACACACACAACCTCTATATAATGGTGGTGTGAGGACAATTTAAAAACCCATTCAGGAAAAGAAAGAATGGGAAACACTTGGTAGTCACTGATCCATAATAATTGTTATATTCTACTGACTGAAATTGTGAAAACTTTAAGCTCTGGCAGTGAAGTAACTTCCTTGGAGTGGAATAATAAGACTCTCCATATTGCAGTCTTCCATTTTTGCTCTCTTGTAGGAGCATTGTCATTTTCTCACTTGTCTTTCACCTCTGGGAGATTCTTTTTTTACCGTTATCATCTGTGGACACATCTGAAGTGACTATTGTCTTTTTTTGGGAATTATAGTGTTTAACGTCCTACTCAGTTGGTTACTTGGAGGTCGCTTTAGCAGTTGAATAATAGGCTTTTGCTACTAGATATTGGTTTCTTTGTGAATTCTTAATCCCTTCAGCAGTTATTAATATTTTGCATCTAGGGAGTTCCATGTGTAAGTTACCACAACCAAAGCTATTATTTATTCATAGTTTTTTTGCTGGAAAACTGCTGAACTGGTGTTTTATTTGCTTATCCCCATATTCTTCCTATCCTCGCTTCACCTTAATTTAGTGAAGGCAACTTTAACAATACGTTTTTGGGGAGAGAGATATTATTATTATTATTATTATTATTATTATTATTTGCCACAGACTAGTTCCTATGTCCGAATTTAAGAAGAATTGCCAGAAAAAGAGGATCCACAGTTTTATCTCTTGCTGAGGCTCCTTTTTAGAACTTGAGTCTTTTCAGTGTTAGCATGTTTTCCTTTCTTGTAATAGTATTTGCAAGCAGCAGAATGAAGTAGCTAATAGCAACAGTCTAGAGAATTGCTAAATTTTTAGTCCTTTTTTTTTTTTAGCCACATAGTCTGCCTTCCCTAGGTATCAGCAGTAGCAATTTTACCAAATATTTTGCTGTAGCATATTTAGGGTCACCAGCTTTATATTTTGAAACATCCCTTGTCCATTAATTGCCAAATCAATCACAGATATTTTTACTTTGCAGCATTGTCAACTTCTAGGCAGGAAATTTTGAGGTAGTTAGGACATAAACTAGGCTGCTGTAACAAGTGGCTAAAGCATGGTAGAAGTAAATTTTTCCTTGTAGGAACATGGTATAATGTAGGGAAATTGAGCTCTTTTTATCTCGTTCTGCTATTCATAGGATATAACTTAACCTGCTTGTACAAAGATAGTTTACAACTCATCCACCTTAGTTTGTTGGATGTGAGTGGTTGTGGTAAGGAGAGACTGTGAAGGGATCAAGGGATACCTCTTCTTTCTAAGTACTTTCCAGCAATTGCACATACCACTTTACTCACATCACTTTTGGCCAGAATTTTGTAATATATCAAACCACAGTTTTAAGGGAGCAGAACAAAGTAAATCTTTGGAAACAAAGAATTAAAATATTGTTTGCTTGGTTCTCTTCACTGTATATTCGTTTTCAATTTTATCATTATTGCTCTCTCTGTTTTACAGTGTTAAATGGCTGTTATTTTTCTAGCTTCTTGATGGGTACTTAGATAATTGATTTTCAGTCTTCTTTTCTAGTATATGCATTTAAGGCTATAATTTTTCCTGTAAGTATAACATTAGCTATATCTGCTAGTTGTGATATGTTGTATTTTTATCATTTCATTAAAACTACTTTTTCATTTCTGTTTTTATTTTTTACCCATAGGTTAGAAGGGTTTTGCTTAATATCCAAGTATTTGGGGGTTTTCTAGTTATCTTTTTATTATTGACTTAAACCTTTATTTCACTGTAATCTGTTAATATACTCTGATTTTAATCTTTTGAAATTTGTTGAGACTTGTTTTATGGCCCAGGACATAATTAATTTTGGTTTTATAAATGTTTAATGTCCATTGAAGAAAAGTTGTTGGGAGCAGTATTCAGATCAATTTTGTCCATTATGTCGTTCAGATCTTTTGTATTCTTAGAGACTTTGTGTGTGGAGGGGGGTGTCTGTTGTTTTATCAGCTACTGAAAGAGGTTTATTAAAATCTGTTTTGATGAATTTAACTGTTTTTATTTTTGGTTCTGTTAATATTTGCTTTATGTATTTTGAAGCTATGTCATTTGGGTATATACACATTTAGAATTATTAAATCTTCTTGGTAGATTTAAAATCCCTTTTATTATTAAGATATAACCTGTTTAGAAATAATTCTTCTCTTAAAGTCTACTTGGCTGCTATTAATATAGCTATTCCTATTTTTTTGTGGTATTTGCATGGCTTATCTCTTCCTATCCTTACACTTTCAACCTTTCAGTGTCCTTATCTTTAAGCTGCAATTACATCTTTTGTAAGCAGCATTTAGCATTATTTGTTTTATGTATTTGATACTTCTTTTTTTTTTTTTTTATTTCAGCATATTATAGCGGTACAGATGCTTAGGTTACGTATGTTGCCCTTG